TGTGTTCTGCCCCCCCGTCCGTGGCCACAGATCGGACTGCAGTTTGGGGCGCGGATTTTGGGACCCCCCTCAGCCCAGAATCCGCGGCCGCAGATTGGGGCACAGATGCGCGGGCATGTCCAGGTAAGTTTTTTATTTTTAATCCCTAACCCCCTTCTTNACTCTTCTCCTTCCTTCTCTTCTCCACTCAACCGATCTCCAACCTCCGTTCTTCTCAAGATCTCTAAGTAAGTACATGATTTTATTCCTCTTTCTTAGTATTTTTCTTCTTTTTTTTTCCTTTTCTGTATAGGGTAGTAAAATCATAAGTACTTTGTCTAGGATTTGGATTGTGGTTTATATGTGGTATATGGAGGCTATTTGAATTGATTGATTTGGAGGAAGCCATTGTTGGGTTTGTGAGGAATGGTAGTCTGATTGGGTCTTTTGGTGACTTAGGGGTACATATGCACCCTACCTGTTTGTTGATTTGCCTTAATGAGTGTTGAAGATAAATTGTGACCAATTGTGCGAGTGAAATCTGAGTAACCGCCATTGGGACACATATTTCTCTCTCCACTGATAGTAGTATTTATTGTATAGGTAACATGCAACCTTCAAAGAAGAGACGCGCTATCGGGGCCTCATCAAGTGGTCATGGACGCTCATCTCGGGGACGGGCACCGACCAGTGCAGCTCAGTTTGATCGTACCAGGTTTGTCTCCAGAGCAGCCCAAGACCGTTTCAGTTTGAAGGACACTAAAAAACCTGTACCGAAACAGGGTATTGATAGGGCGTCCCTCCAGGATGAATTCCCTAATATGTATCAGGGGTTGATCAGGCACAGATATGACAGCTTTTTCGAAGAGCCGGAGGAGGGTAACTTGATGCTTGTTCGGGAGTTCTATGCCAACAGCCCCGAACATGAGGATAGAATATGCATTGTGCGACACACGAGGGTGGATGCCTCGTTAGAAACCATCAGGAGAGTGTATCGATTGCCTGAATTCAATGGGGAAGGGGATTTATATGATACTTACAGGAGAGAACCCATCATATGGAAAAGGTTTTTCAAAACTATCTGTGCACCAGACAAAGAGGTAGTGTGGGTTGTGCCGGGATCGAAGCTACACTCTTCCTCACTCACTTTTGAAGGAAAATGTTGGTTGTACATCATCAACAGTTGCTTACTGCTGTCCCACAACACCATGGAGGTAAATGGTCCCAGAGCTGCCTTGATATGGTGCTTCGTGAATGGCCACGACTTTGATGTGGCCAAGGTTCTTCAGTCTAAGATGTTCGTCCGTTCAACACAGAAGAGGTATGGGTTCTTTTTCCCCTCTCTGATCACTATATTGTGCCGGGCAAAAAGGGTGCCTGAGAACCCAAATGCGGATGGCATGGTAAAGAAAGAAGCAAAGTTCCGGGAAGACAAAGTGACCATCGGGAAAGACCCGGTGGCACCAGGGGCAACTCATAGTGACGATTCTAATGCGTCGGAAGAGGGCAACGAAGGGCAGGAGGAGGTTGAACCTGCCTCACCCCACAGGAACAAGCTGTAGTGGCTGAAGGACCATCCCAGGGCAGACGGAGCACGCGAATGACAGCCCTAAAATAAGACATGGCAGGACTGTGCACTTCCGTCACGGAATTGGGGACCAGAGTTGATGCTTTGGCAACCCAAAATGCGAAGTCAGAAAAGAAAATCAAGGGTTGGCTGCGTGCGCTGGGGAGAGCATGTCATCTCGACCCTGGCACTGTCTCCGATCAAGACTGATCCACCAGGGAAGTTCCTTTACCTCATATTACTTTACTTTGTATGACATGGGGTCATGCCATCTTTTTAAGTGTGGGGTGGGGGATACTTTGTTGTATGTAGATAGTTTCGTAGTCTATTTGTATAAATCAATTTTGACTTGGCCCAATGATGGATATCATTCGACGGGTTTCTTGAGGGACTAAAGTCGAAAGAAAAAAAAAGATTTTCTTTTGTAGTAGTGTATCAATTCCCCCTTGGTTTTTCTTCAAACCGCAGTTCTTTTTCAAGGGTTTTGTTTGAACTGGTGTAGTTAGCTTTTTATTTTTTAGTTAGAAACTTATGGGCTATGGGCAGAATTAAAATAGGAAGCCTTGTTTGATTTCGTAATGCCTTGAATATACCGGTTACTTTAGTGTGACACTTAGGCTCATTTGTTGACTCTTGTAAGAAGGCCTTAAAATGTATGTTCTTAATTTGGCTGAAGTACCCTGATCTGAGTGTTTGATGATCTAATCTGGAATGAGTCATGTGCCATGTATGTGGGAGGCTTGTTATATTCTGTGCACGACATTTAACGCCTAGAATTTGCCATGTGTGTCTGCAAAGCGAAATGGTAGTCTTGTTTAGTTTGGAAAGTGATATAGGCATTTCTTTATTGAACCATATATATACATACTCCACCCACCTATTTGCTATGTACCATAGTTAACCCCGTTAAGCCTGTAATCCTGTTTCCTTGGCAACCACATTACAAGCCCTATCCCTTGTTTGAATTGACCATCTTTTTAAATCATTTACCTCTCGTAAGCACTGAAAATACTATGAATTTACAAAGGATAAAGCGTGGGGTAGTTGATGGAGCTTTTGAGTGGAACTAGGAAATAAGGAGAAAGGTATATCTTGTTAGAAAAGGCCACTTGTTAAAAAAAAAAGAAGAGAAGAACATTGTTAATAGTGTATCATGTTGATTGGTAATAAATCTTTGGTGGATTTTAAGGTGATTGTGCTTAAAGAAGAAGTGTGGGGTGGTATATGTGGTGTTAAAAATGAAAATATTGGTTTAACTTAGGTGTGGATTTGATTGTAAAATAAATGTATTAAAGTGCTTAGGGAGGTATAGTCACTATTATATATCCAAATATATCCTACCCAACCTACAACCTACATTACATCCAAATAAAGTCCTACTTGATCCTAGACTGAGTGAGCTCAATTAGTAGAGTCGTACACTACGGGCAAGCCTATAGTGCATTTTCTGTGGCACAAGAATGTCATTTCTGAGGGTGAGTGAATTCTGTTCCTTTTAAAGTTCCTCAGTGTGTGTGAATTTTACTGATTGTGAAATGAGTCTCTTTTGTTGTGAGCAGGCACTTGATTCATGAAGGAGAGGTAAGTCTGGACCTTTGATATAGAGTAAGTAAGCCGGTTAGGAACATTGCGTGGCTAGAGGGAGTCAACTCTTAAGGTGTAGATGTTGCACTAATGTACTCAATTTATGTGAAATATTCTTGGTGTGACGAGTAGGGAAGTTGCTCAGTGAAGTTAGGCCTCTTAGAGTGTGGTTTGATTGCTCGGGGACGAGCAATGATTTAAGTGTGGGGTGTTGATAGTAGGCTATATTTATGAAATTTAGACACTACTTACACTCTAATTTAGCCGCACTTTATTGATATTTGAATGCCAAAAGATAACAAAATGCTCTAATTAAGAATTTGATGCTTTGCAGGAGCTACTCCGAGCTAGGAAGGAGCTAACGAGTGTTTTGGAGTCAACATGGAATGTGAAAGGGCAATCGAAGGTTAGCCCGGTCGAAAAGGAGCGAGAAAAGCAAGCGAAACGACCCCTCCAGGTGCGCGGCTGCGAACTGGTCCGCGAACTCAAGGTAGTGAGGCAGTCAAAATCTGCGGCCGGATCCGCGGTCGAATCCGCGGCCGCGAACGGGCGGACGAAAGCCAAACACGCAGGGTTAATTATGTAATTTTCTAGGCGACTAACCTAAACCTATATGAAACCTAAACTCGCCCAGAAGTGAGAGATAACTGTTTTTAGAAGATTTTAGAGGCAAGAATGAGGGAGAGAAGACGGATAAATTCCTAAGAGTTTTTATCTTCTTCTATATACTTCTATTTGTTGATTATGAATTATTTTAGTGATTTGTTTTCCAGTAGTATGAGTAGCTAAATCTGTTATCTAGGGTTGATGGAACCAATTGTTGGATGAAGTCTTGACTCTATTTTGTTATAATTGAGCCGTGTTTGTTCTATGATTGTTCAATTACATATTGTATTGTGGTTAATTGAAAGGGCCCTCGATTAATCGTGTCTATTTACCCTGTGTTGCTTGAGAAAGAACACTTGGTTAGATTGTTGTTGAACAACACCACTTTTGGGGAAGTTAAGAGATTAATTACTTGAATTTAAAAGTGGGGTAAGAAATAACGAAGCTTTGGTGGGATAATTCTGAGTTGCATAAATTGTTAACTAGAGTAGTTCGAGAGAATGCTTCTAGTAAATTATCGTAATTAATCGAAAGGTAATTACGGTAGCCCGGAACTCATAATCCTCATAGAGTATTACGGCGAGATTATAGCTAAAGAGTTGAGAATTAATCCGGCAATTGGGGAAATCAATAGCCCTAGATCCTTTTACCCTTGAATTCAATTTTAGTCCTGATTATTGCTAATTTTATTGTCATTTTTCCTTGGCTAAATAAATTCCACTGATTATTCATAAAACTCTTGCATCCGGAAGTTGTCTGAGCTTATCATTAGCATTATTTTAGGTTGTAGTAAATAGGTTAGTTCCCTGTGGGTTTCGACTCCGGACTTGAACTGAGTTATATTTGCAGTGACCACTTAGTCCTTTTTACAAGGCATAGTTGGGCGTGATCATTAAGCTATAGAAGATCATCATCGTCCTCTCTATTAGGTTGTATTGGCTTTAAATTGGTATTCTCTAGACAGATTAGCACTTCAGCCCAATATACATGTCATTTAGTTCATCTCAAGAGTAAAAGTTCCCTATTCTGTGTATTGGCAAATTAAGTTCCACTTTGACAATGTACATGAAATGCAGATACAAAGATGTCGCGCAAATGAACTTTACTTTCATCCTTAGTTGGCCAATGTTGTGTTAATCTTGATCTACAACCCTTAATTAAAATGGTTTAAGTTAATTAAATACTAGTCATGTTGAGATCTATGTATCCGGCCTTTAAGCAAATATGTTTAAGTAAATGGGTGCATCCGTGCATGAACAAACACTTCAACAAAGCCACAACAGTTCATTTGAATAAAGGAAATTTATTTTCATATACAAGATCACACTTTCTGGTCAGATCCAAACAACCCCAGCAGAAATTACAAACAAATGACAAATTGACAAACAAAAGAACAGTACAACAGAAATGAAAAGGGTAACCCCTAATGGCAGCCCATTGAATGATACCAAGTGTTGGCAGCTAACAAATGGCATCAGGAATTACTGAGACAACAGACAGCCCAGCAAACTTCCCCTAACGGATCTTCACAATACATTTTCAGGTTTCTTTACCCTAACTATAAGGAAAAGAGACCCTACATGACTTCACCAAAAACAAGAAGTTGGCTGCATTTGTCTCCTGACTTCTATTATAGGTTTTTTTGCTTTGTCAAATTTATTTATTCCTACTTTTGAACATTCTTAAATGGAAGCTACTTGTTGGAGCACCTGTGTACAGCTTCAAATACAAGGTGGGGAATTGAATTGTCTTCCCCTGATTAGGAGGATGCCTTGGTGACATCTTTGGTAGATCTGTTGTATTTCATGTGGCTCTTAACCAGCTGCCCAGCTGAGATAGCTGACATGAGGGATAGCTCCCCAGCAAGAACAGAACCAGCTACTATTGTGGCCAAGAGTCTTGCATTTGACCCTGGTGCCTCTCTGTTGGCACCTTTCACTCCCAATAAGTTCAAGCAAGCTGACTGAGAAGCAAGCTGAGTTCCACCTCCAACAGTACCAACCTGTATCCCATTAAATACACAATAAATACAACAAGAAATTGAAAGATTCCAGAGTAACACTTTAAATTGAACTGAGGACAGGTCACATGTATGAGATTGTCTATATATGTCCAAGTGATCATAAAAATCTCTGATAGAGGACTCTGTTGCAACGTGAAAAGAAAAGGGTCCCAAAGACTAACACCAAATTGAAGATTCTGGTACCACCTGACCTGCTTCAGACTACAGTATTGTTCACAATATTAAATGTTTCTGCAACCTTTCATTATCTTGTTTTTCCTTTAAAGTGATTCAACTACTAAATTGAGATTTGAAGAATCCTTTCACTATCTTTTTCTATCAAAGTGATTCAACTAATAAATTGAGATTAGAAGAATCCAAAGCTGCACCAGGATGCACTACCTTAGGAAGCACTATATCACGACTAAATCAATTTAAGCTGGACCTCTGTAATGTTTTCTCTTTTGCATAACACTCATTAGTTTTGATGATTTAGAAAGAAGGACGATGACAGAATCAGAAATTTGTATTAAAAAAATATTAATCACATACCTCAATGGAAGGCATTGTAACAGAAACATGGAGGTCCTTGCCATCATTTACAGCCTCCATCATAGTGATACAATGAGAGCTCTCTATGTTCTGAGCTGGGTCCTGACCAGTTGCTATAAACACAGCTGAGACGATATTGCTGGCGTGGGCATTGAAACCACCAAGCGCACCAGCCATGGCAGAGCCAGTAAGATTTTTAAGCATGTTCAGCTCCACAAGAGCAGCAACCTCAGTTTTCAGAACTTTCTTCACCACCTCTTCCGTGATAATTGCCTCACAAACTACAGACTTTCCTCTCCCCTCAATCCAGTTAACTGCTGCTGGCTTCTTGTCCGAGCAAAAGTTCCCTGTCACAGTTATAGATAACTTCAATTAGACAAACATCTCCATTTCGGTGGGAACAAAAGCGGGTAAAATATTTTGGTGATATTCTTAGGTATTAAAGATCACAATAATGTCAAGTTTTTATTGAAACAAGTTACTCCATATAAATAAGAGTTAAGATACCTGTATGGAAACATTATTTTTCCTTTATGGTGGAAAATGTTTTTCAGAAAGAAAAAAACATTTTCTTTGGAGACAATATTTACTACACTTCAAGAAACCAAACGCTAGATAAAAAAACATTTTCCACCCGTGCGAAACACACAATTACAATAACCAGAGACTTCTGATAAATTCCATTAGCATTTAACAGAGACCATGCACAGCAGAAAAATAAAGTGCATTACATGTTTCATGCAGTGAATATACAGCTTTTTTCATGGATTTAATTTACAATAATCATATGAAGTGGTATAATTAAGCTAGCAGTGGGTGTAAAATACGTGGGATATCTTTAATGAAAAACTAAACGGTAGGTGGAATACCAGATATGCCGATGACATCCATGTCGGGATATTCATTCTGGAGGTAATCAAGAACATTTTGTACACCTTTGGACACCATGTTCATTCCCATTGCATCACCAGTGCTACACACAAATCGCATGTACAGATTCTTTCCCGCAATTGCGCATTGAATCCTTTGTAATCTGGCAAATCTGCTTGACCTGGAATATCCAATTCAAACGCAAAAATTACATAACCATACAACACAATATTCAAATGCACGCTGAGAAATATAATAACGGCATGCACTCACTGGTTGAAAACAGCAGCAAGTGTCTCAAATTTCACAGGATCTTCAACAAAGAACTTCAACTCCGCGGCCCTTTTGGCAGTGCCAAACCTGACACAAGGTGCTCTGGTCATCCCATCGCGGAGCAACACGCTAGTGGCGCCGCCAGAAGCATAGATAGCCTTACAACCCCTGTTGGTGCTAGCCACTAAACATCCTTCAGTGGTTGCCATTGGCACCGAATACTCTCTCCCGTCAAGCAACAATGGCCCGGCTATTCCAACGGGTATCTGAACGTAACCGATTGGCATCTCACAGCACTGCCCAAGAATGGATTCATAATCAAATCCCTCCAATGGGAGCCCTTCTAGAGACTTCCCCGTAATCCTCTGCAATGCCTCTTTACGAATAGAAGCAGCTCTCTTACAATCACCGAGTTTCGATTCCAAAGAGTAGGACGGCATTTTCCCCTGCACCACGGATTTTATGATCTCCTCGTCTTCCTCAGAGGCTGCTGGTGTAACCAACGGCGCAGGTTTTTCAGACATAGCTGCGACCTTGGCGGGTTGCGGTGGTACCATTGGGACAACTTGTCGAGCAGGTGGTGGTGGAACAGCAGTGCAGCCAAGAGTAGTGGCAGGTCCACGACGACTATCTTCTTCCAAAAGAAATTGCTCATCGTTTTCATCCTCAACATCCCAAGAATCATCATTGTTATCCCTGGAAACGAACGACTGAACAAATCCGATCCCGAAGAACCCCAGAAGATAAATCACGGAAGCGATCAATGAAANGACTGAACAAACCCGATCCCGAAGAACCCCAGAAGATAAATCACGGAAGCAATCAATGAAGCAATGGCAACTAATTCAGAAAAAGTAACCACGTGGAGAGGAGTGGAGTTCCTGATTTTCTCACGCCACCTGCTGAGAAGATAATACATAACGGAGAAAAACATGGTGAAAAACAACCCATTTGTGAGGTACAAAGGGAGTGGGAGGGCATCGGAGGCAATGAGAAGGGAGTTGTCCTGTTCTTGTTGTTGTTTGTGGGGTTTGAGAGGTTTTTCGCCGGCGGCAAATTCTTTGGTTGGATATGCAGGCTTCTCAGATCTCCGGCGAACGTCCATTTTCACCGGTAAGAGTGCCGCCGGCCGGGAAGTGAAGGGAGAGAAAAGAGGAATAGGGGAACTGTGGGATTGTTGTGTGTGATTTGAGAAGTATTGTTTGAGGAATGAATGTGAGGAAAAGCGAAGTAGTAGGAAATGTATTTATAGAGAAAACCGGTTGGCGCGCTGGACTTTTGGGCCACACGTACCGTGTGCTTCCCCCTCCTTTCTCTTTATGTTTCAAACAATAAAAAAAGTCTTAAATTTGAATTATCTTCTAAGGTGATCAATTATACTTTGGTGAAATTATATTTAAGAAAAAAAAGACTTCTTTTTAAAAAACAGTTTTATATAGTCAAGTTGACTTATGTTTTGGGTAGAAATGTAAGGGTCGTTTGGTGCATATGTGATAAAGATAATAATCACGAGATCTCATGTTTGGTTTGGAGTATTAGCTAATATCTAGATAATTTTTACACTTAAATGGTGTGATTAACTATTACATATAGAAGATGGGATAACTAATCTCATAGAATATCCAACATCATGCGATATCATGGGATATCCCACCATTGTATTTCAATAATCAAAAATTTAACTTTGAACTATAGTACACGATCTATAATTTCACACATTGAGACAAGTTTAGCTTTTATACACTAACACTATAATATTTCGTATCATTAGGTTAAAAAAATTTACAATAACATATAACTGTCTATAATATGTTTAATTTAGTAAACTAGAAAATAAGATAAATAACATGTTATGTAATAGGTAAAAATTCATTGACAAATGTAAACAAGTTTATATTATTTGTCTATATAAGTTGAATCGTAATGAGAATAATATTGAGAGAGATAGAGTGATAATTATTACTCCCTTGGTTTTATTTTGTATTGCGGTTTCTTCTATTTTAAGAGAGAAAGAATATTTTTTTTGCACATATCAAAGAAAATTTAAATGTGTCATGATATTTTTATGACAATATAAAAAACAAAAGCATGTCACTAAAAATAAATAAGAATTTTTAAATTTAAAAATTTCTAATTATAAATAGGTATCATGCTTTTCTAAGCAGTCTAACAAGCAAAAAATATCAAATAAAATGGACCAAGGAATAACAAAATAGTGAATTTAGCTCTTTAGCTTTTAATTTTAAATATTATACATTTGTTTTAAAAAAATAGTTTTTAGAAACTAGCAAACTTAACTTGTTTTTCGAAATTATTTTCTTAAAAATTTTCAAAAGTAAATGCAAATATTAATATACACCGACAATATAAAAATATTTTATATATATATATATATATATATATATATACTAGTGTAATTTAATCTGTTGTTACAGATTCTCAGACTTGTTTTTCTAATTATCAGTTCCACTTATTATTAACGGTCCGTAAATATATAAAACTGAACTCTATTAAAATATAACTAGAGCATGATGGGTACATCTATTGGAATATGATCTCTCCAAATAGGGTAGCGTAGGTATATCTGAAGTCCTGATGGCGTACACAAGTTTTCTCACGAGCATACATTAGTCCACATAGGACAGCAATTGAAAAAGAACAGAGGAGGTATCTTGGCACCTTACTTTGAGAAAAGTTGAATTATTATTAAACTAAAATCCAATGTACCTGTCCTTGTTTTTCTTTTATTAACATTATTATATTCCTACCCTTATTTTTAATTTGTGAAAGTTGAACAGACTTGACTTTTGATTTTATCACGTTGATCTGCAATTTGGTGTTTGATAGTCAATTTATATATCCCAATATAAACTATTTCAATTTATGTAAACCTATTTCTTTTTTAGTCCGTACCAAAAAGAATTACATCTTTTCTTATTTGAAAATAATTTGTCTTTATGCAATTATTTATAGCCATACAAAATATATGGTATCATTTTACACCACAAGTTCAAAAGTCTTCTCTTTTTTCTTAAATTTCGTGTCCACTCAAATAGGTTCACATAAATTGAAACAGAGGAAGTATGTATTAAGTATTAAAGGGAAAAAAAATAGCGAAATTATTTAAATGCAGTTTTCTCATTTTTATTGGGGTTGTATTGGAAAAAAAGTTTAAGTATATGCCCCATGATAGATCAAAGCTTTGAATTGATGGATATGATCTCTCTACATTTAATCAGAAGTCTCTATTCCAATCCTGAAAATGAAAAACATAATTTCTCCTTTAATAAATCTTACTTGAAGTAAATTTGAATTCGTTAGTACCCAAAAGGTGATCGAATATCGAAAGAAACGAAAAAAAAAATCTATGCTTAAAAAAGAGCGAAATAAAAATAAAATTAAGGCTACGAAGGGATCAACAGTGGGAACATAGGAACCTATTTTTTCCTTGTACAAACTTTTCTTCTTGTTTCAAGTTTCTTCTTTTTTAGTCTTTTCTTTTTACATCGTGGAGTCGTAAAATAGACCAGTTCATTAGAACTTACAAGTTGAATTGCAAACGACAAAAAACATTTATTTTGGTTCTGCATTATTTAGGACCAATTAACTATATGCTATTAGCTAAAGCACTTGTCATCAATAGTTCATCGCCATTGTTTCCTGAACCGTTTTGATATAATAAAATGTATATATTCAGTTACTTTATTTACTCTAATTTTATGCTTAGATAACCAGCTCTGTTATCAAAGAAATAAGTAACACATTGCTGAAACAATTGTAACAACTCCTGCACTGCAGGAAATATCTTGGCACCTGATATTGTTTTGATAACTCTGTTTCTAGGCTAACTCCTTCTAGTTCGGGAATAGGTGCCAGTTCCTGTAATTTCTATGCCAAGCATTCCTTCCCTTTTCTACTGGAAACTGAGAATTCATTCATCTTCCTTGCTGCCGGTTGATCACCTCTTATCTACTTGATTCCTTCGGGCATTGAAAACTTCAGCAATTGGTGATATGTTGATGGTACAACTTTCATCTCGTGTAACAATGGCCTTCCTAGAATAATGTTGTATCCCATGTCACCATCTACTACGTCAAAGAGAGTTATTTTCATTACTCCTTTATCGTTTGTGAGCAGCAAAATCTCTCCCCGGGTCGTCACACTTGCAAGGTTGAATCCAGCGAGGAACTTTGTTGCCGGAATAATGCTTCCTGTGAGTTTAGTTTGCTGCAATACTCTCCATTGTATGATATTAGCCCGACTTCCTGGATACACTAGAACACGTTTAATCTTAAAATCTAATACATTTAAAGAAATTACCAGTGCGTCATTGTGTGGTAACAACCATTCGACCGCGTCCTCCTCCGTGAAAGTGATATCATCTATCCGGAGTCTTTTACTATGAGTTATTGATACTTTCGTCTTTTTCGCTGCCGAAAAGGTGACCCCGTTAATCTCATTCCCTCGAAGATCATATTGATCGTTTGGCGTAGGGGTTCTTCTCCTGCCTTCGGAAGTTCCGCGTTGTCTCTGTTACGACCATAATTGTTCTTAGCTCGGTCACTCAAGAATTCTTTGAGGTGACCATTCTTCAATAATGTTGCCACCTCCTCTCGGAGGTGTCGGCAGTCCCCTGTCCGGTGACCGTTCGTCCCATGGTACTCGCACTATAAGTTGGGATCTCTCTGGATGGAATCGGATCTCATAGGTCTTAGGAATCGTGTATCTTTAATGTTTCTCATGGATGACACCAACTCTATGATACTGACGTTAAAGTTATATTCCGATAAATTGGGGTAAGAACGATCCCGAGACCCCGACGTCTTCATATCCTGGAGTGATCTATTGTTTCGACCACGATCGGTCCCTCTATCAGCGATGAACTTGTTTGCTGCCCTGAAGTTTCTGCCATGGCCTTTGGTCCGCTCGCAGGGCAGCAACCAGTCCCTCAAAGTTCGTCTGTCCGCGTCGTAGTCATCCTTTGATTTTTCTCTACTCTTCTCCCGTCCTTTGGCCGATGATGTGGAACCGATCTGGTCATCTTCAATCCTTATCTTTGACTCGTACCGGTTATGGATATCTGGCCAAGTTGTTGCTTGGAACTCAAACAGGCTCTCCTTTAGCTTCCAGGAAACGTCTGAGCTTCTCGGGTTCAATCCTTTGGTGAATGCTTCAGCTGCCCATTCATCTGGGACAGCCGGGAGCAACATTCTTTCTTTCTAGAATCGGGTAACGATTTCTCGTAATAATTCAAATTCTCCCTGTGCGATCCTGAATATATCGGCCTTCCAGGATTGTACTTTTCTGGCCCCGGCATGAGCATTGATGAAAGAATCCGCGAGTATCTCAAAGGAATCTATGGAATGCTCGGGTAATAATGAATACCACGTTAGGGCTCCCCTCGTGAGAGTTTCTCCAAATTTCTTTCGCAGCACAGATTCAATTTCGTGAGGAGCTAGATCGTTTCTTTTTACCGCCGTTGTGTAGGTGGTAATATGCTCATGTGGGTCTGAAGTCCCATCATACTTTGGCATTTCAGGCATTTTGAACCGCTTCGGGATTAGTTCTGGTGCCGCACTCGGCTTGTACGGCAATTGAGTATACTTCTTCGAGTCCAGGCCTTTCAATATTGGTGGCGCACCCGACATTTGGTCCATGCGGGCATATACTTCCCTCATAAACCGCAAAGTTCATTCTTGAACGGGTCGTTCTCGTTGTTCAGACCGGATCTGCTCCCCCCCAGCCTCGTCGGAACCAACTTCGCCCCCGGGAGTGTTGTTGTCGACTCTCTGCGTCGTTTGGTTTGCGGGAACACCATGAGCAATTGGATCTCGTCTGTTTGCATTATTTGAAGCTCCTGATAGTGCCTGCTTCAGTTCCATCATAACCTGGTCTTGCCGCGTGAGATGGTTTAGAATGATTGCTTGTTGTTCTCGCAGAACCCTCATCGCATCCACGACATGTTCCTCATCAACATCATCGGGAGTTGTATCCCGAACCTGTCGAGGGTACTGCCTGTCATGCACCGGTGTGGCGTCATTCTCCTCATTGCGAGTGTCATTGATTGAATCCTCGAAATGAGGCTGATCCCCTCGAATTTCAGGGTTGTGCGTGTCGTTCAGTGTTATCTGCCATTTTTATGATTTTTTCTAAGACAAAATAATCAAATTGCAT